CCTATCCAATATTCAAAAATAGTTCCTATAGATTCCTTATGTTCAGGATATTAGCTGCTATATGCATATCTGCAGCCTCTCTAATCATAGGCTTAGATGTGAAGTACCCGTAGCCTAGGGAACGCTGATTTTCTGAACATTCTATCACTAGTCTTGTATTAATGGTGTGTTCAACCAGTTCAGCTTTTTGCGCACTGATCTTTACAGGCTGTTTTGTATTTAGATTACCTATTTTCGACGAATAGGTCGACATATTTTCTTCAATTAGATATTACCACATAAAAAATCAGAGCATTGTAACACCATGATCTAGAACAAGGGTCCAAAAATTGTCGAAGAAAGACTGAGAAGAGATTTGGTTTCTCTTGATGTATTGTTATGATGTTCCATTTAGTCAGTAATTCCCTTACTGACAGATTTTCGACATCAGGAGCCGAGTAAGGCCATCTATCTGTTTGTTCTGCTCTGAATGGTTATACTCCCGTATTCTTTTTGAGTATTTAATGATCTATTAGTCCTAGCAGAGACTGTCCCGAATTGGTATTTCCAAGTGATTTACGTCTGCTATGTACAGATTCCCTACAATTATCGATTTTACAACCCATACTTAGACTCCATACACAGAAGAAAAGTTAAGGAAGAAGCCCACATGCCTGAGCTTCCTAAAAATATCTCTACTCAACTTATGAATAAAATGATCAGGAATGCAAAATTTGACAAAACGGGAATAAAAATGACAAAGACGTGTATTGTCATTGTAAAGCTACCAAATTATCTCACTAAAGAATAAAGGTGCACTATAGTCGTTTGTTTTGTAAGTAATATTAGCAAATACGCCCAAAATAGATTAAAGAGAAAACTTGATGTCTGTAGAAAGCTGGAGAAAAGTTCCGAAATGAATTCTTATAATTTGTCATTCTGGTTTTCTGTAAATATAAGAGATTCTGATAGTGAACAAATGGTTATTATGATTTTAGGAAGGTATATCTGGAAGTCATTTATATGACGTGTCAATAGGGTCACTCATATAATAACTAGTTGCTCTCTGGGTTGTCACATCCTGATCTAGTTTCACAATAGGGCCGCTAATGAGGCCAGGGCGAGATGAAAACTGATCCACCCCTGAGGAAAGCATACTTTAGGGCTGGATTTAAGATTGAAATTCCTGAAAGATCATGTGTTGTCCTAAACTCATCTTGGGAATTTCAACTTTCAGCACCTAAAACATCAAGTAACTATAGGGAGCCATCAACTTAAATGGGATTCTTTGATAGTTTTGTTAGCTCCATCATACCAAGCTATTAAAATGCACTTTCTCTATTCTTTTCTTTATGCCTTTAGTTGATAGTGCTAGCTTGGATGCATCTGGGGAGTTACCCACGCATCTGCATCAACATCTAGCCGGTCTCGGTCTATTTGGAATGCAGACACCAGAGTTTGGATTAGGCCTCAATAACTTTGAGACTGCTCGATTAACCGAGGCTACAGCGGTTGACCTGTCCTTGCACAACCTCATTGCCACGCATAACTTCCATGCTGTCAAAGCAAGTTATGCCTTATGCTGTATTTTATACCTCTTGGGCTTCCTGTTAGACTAATTATCATAATTTCTTTCTTCCCCCCTCTCCTCTCTCTCTCTCTCTCTTTATATATATATATATATTCAACATTCTTTCCTACGCGGCAATCCTCCTTCGGTTTCCGATGAGACCACGTCACGACCTCCTTTCGACCAAATTCCCATTCGAAATGGAGAGTCATGCCACAATATTTCATTAGGGAATTCTCCGAAACCTTGTTTTTCTTCATATCTTTAAATTATTTATTATTTTATGACATTTTGTTGATATTTGCTCTTTATTACATGAATATTAAATCTAAAAGTATAAATACCTATTCTTAAGTATTTCTAAATCTATCTTATTTTACACTTTTTATTTTGATTTAATAATCAGGCTTTAGAGCTTGTCGGCAGCTACCAACTACGGTCCAAATATCTTCACAAGCTAGCTAGAGGCCACATCATTGGTACGCTTTGTCTTCAGGAGGAAAAAAGGTGGGGTTTCTGTCCGATTTAAATATATAAATATATATATATATACATATATGTTTTTTCGAGCGAGCCCTCTTCAGTATGGCCACTTGTATGAAATAATGAGCAGCTAGCTACACATTTATACTTTCATAATAAGATAATTAATTCATCCTTGAAGTTGACATTGTGTATTGTGTACATATATAATGTAACATTTATCTTAATCGAAGCTATGAAGACCAAGATGGTGTGGCCGTTTGTGTGGTAGCAGTCTTTTTTAATTGTTTAGAGGTTGTTTGACCTTTTTTTTCGCAACTTGATTATATTTGCAGGACGACTTAGAGGAATACACCTAGTCCGGAGTCCATTGTATGCATGATCATTTCTAGAGTAGGACCGTGGACGTGGTACATTTACAGACGTTTCGCCGGCATCGTCAGTGAGTTTCGCCAGTCTTAGAACCACACAACAACTAGTCAAAGATACAAGTGAAGCCGATCCTTTGACCAAACCTGTTCTAAACAGTTGTGGTATCTCCCTTTCTGCCCTGAGCTATTCACATTTCATATATCCTTCTATCACGCCTTCACTGTTACAATTGTTACCGTGCTTATTTGGACGTAGTGTGATCTGCTCCTTTGAGCGGCATTCATGAAAACCCTCCACACTCCTCGCTGGCGTTCTCAGAGTTTCCCTCTTGCCTCTATGACTTGCTATGCCCTAGTCTTTTGTGTGCCAACCCACAAATGTTGTGTTACTGCTTGCTTTGATTAGGTTCAATGTTCAACCACAACGTTTATAGGTTGGCACACAAGCGGTTAAGGCATAGGAAGTCATAAACTTGGTATTACGGATAGAAATAGGATAGACGCGGCGGAGACTGGAGCTAGTTGGCTGACGGGTCTTACCAGAGACGTGGTCCAAGTAGCAAAGGCTTGACGATGAGACTTACTCCGAGGCTTTAGCCCCTGAATTAGTCACCTAGACGCAGATGAGTGCTAATAACGCCTCGAGTAGCACAGATGGGGTGGCAGGGGTCGAGTGCAATAGGTGAACCAGGGAGAGAGCAGACGGATCTTACGGGGCAAGAGGGAGACTCTAAAAATGCCAGCGTGTAGTGTGGAGGGTGTTCATGAAAGCCGCTCAAAGAAGCACACCATACCACATCCAAATAAGCACAGTAAAAATTGTAACAGTGAAGGCGTGATCGGAGGATATAGGAAATGTGAATAGCTCAGGGCAGAAGGGGAGATACCATAACTGTTTAGCCCACGTTTGGTCAAAGGATAGTCTTTAGTTGTCTCTTTGCCGAGTTGTTATATGGTGCTGCGAATAGTAAAACTCACTGACGATGCCGACTACAATGCCGGCGAAACGTCT